GATAGCATTGGATCTGGACGGGAAGGATAACTCTGGGAGGTGGAAGGGGTGTGTCGCGATTCTGCCTCCTCACATCGTGATACAGGATCTTGGACCTGAGTATCCCGATTTCGATTTTATATTGTATATCGTTACAGCCCTATAAATTCACTTTTTCAATTGTAGGCCTTTACTTGTATATACCTATATATGTGTAAGTATGTAATTAATGGAGAACGTCCTCGGGTTACGACTGTAACCCTTGTTCCCTGAGAAAGGGAACGAGAACTGTGTCGAATGACACTCAGCGGAGTGCCTCTGAAATATGAATGAAACTAAGCCAATCTGCGACTGGTGTTGCGTCATGACATAATGCATGACGGCATACAAACGGAAACTATAAAAGGATGCCGGCACACATGAGATGTCAGCTTCTTTTGGCTTAGTTGAAGCAAGTGCTCCCAGGCAGGGGAAGGCGTGGCGAAAAGACGCAGTTCTCGTTCCCTTTCTAAGGGAAGAAGGGTTACTGTCGTAACCCAAGGACGTTCCCTTTCACAGGAACTGGAACTGCGTCGAATGACACTTTGGGGGAAAGAGTACCCACTACGCCACAACACGTCCTGCCTGTCCTAGAGTGAAGCTGCTCACAGGCACACTTAAGACGAGGGCACAAGAGTGCCAGGTGTCAATAGAATGTCCAAGCTATAAAACCTAATAAAGGTTTGAGGGGTAGCGTATCCCGCTGCATCGCAGACCTCCTGGATGGGGGCCCCTGCGAGAAGGACTCAAGAGGATGCCATGCCTCTGGTAGAATTAGCCCTCACGGCCAAAGGTGAAGGCATACTGCACACCTGGTAGGCCATGGAAATCGCTTGGACAATCCAGTTGCTAATGGTCTGTTTGGAAGCGAAAAGCCCCTTCCCGTACGACCCGAATCACACTACTGGTCCGATTTCTGCCATGAAGAGGACCTCTGAATGTAAATTCTTAGTGCTCTGACAGGGCAGAGCAGGTGAAGTCTCTCCTCATCCACCGTCACGTGAGACGGAGGATGAAAAGCCTGCAGAATCGTAGGCCATGCCGCAATGGATGGCACCTTTGGCAAATAACCCGGCCTAGGGTGAAGGATGGCTTTAATGTCGCCTGGAGCAAACTCCAGGCACCCTTTAGATATGGAGAGTGCCTGGAGATCTCCTACCCTCTTCAGAGAAGTAATTGCCAACAAAAAAGCCACCTTCAGGGAAAGGTTCTTCAGCCGACCCCAGTGGTTCAAAGCGGGCTTCCCCCATTTTGAATGGTGCGCAAGGCCCAAGGAGAAAAATATTCGTCAGATTTTTCCATGCATAGAAATATTTTACCCGAAGCCTCTCAAGCCTGGCTTCGGGTATTAATCAGGATTCGTTCTCGACCCCCTGAAGCGGATTTCCAGCAGGGCTGGATCGAAAACGATTCTCAATGGGTAGACACAAATGCTGCCTGGCCGCAAGCCTGTGGGGCGGACAGTGCAACCTGCATTCGTGGAAACCGATGCGTCCCAAAACATGTTTAATGGTGGGAGAGTGTGGTATCTTCAGTAATATAGAAACTGAATCATGCGGAATAACTATGATATAACTTTATTCTCTTGTGCAGCAGAGTCTACATGTGACCGGCATACTTTTCTCTTAGATACCAACAACTCTTACTCTACCCCGGAACCCCCACATGATCCCCAAGGTCAACTGCACCTCTTGTGGTGTGGAGAGGAACTGCTGTTAACTACACATAAATCTCAGTATACCACATCCCTCCCCCCTTAAGAGGAAACATATATTTACAATAACTTTTTTTTTTTTTTAAACTCTAGCCCCTCCAAATTACTCACAAATGTATGGTTAGGGAAATTGAACATAACATTGTTAACACAAGACATACACGTCTAGTATTTTCACATGTTTTTTGTTTTTTTTCACAATGAAAAAATAACTCCATGAACAGAATTAAAAGAGAAAGGAAAAAACTAGGAAGGTGGGTAGACTGCCATCCTTCCAGTGAGTCCCAGAGCTCATTCTTGCTCTGACTTGAGGGATCTCACTACTATTTCACAAAGTCTTTCAGATAAGCAGGAGTCTGTCTTATGCGCTCGGAACGACGCAGCCCAGAAAGTAAATCTACTCCTGCTTTTGTTTGTTCAACCACGGAGGAGTGTGCTTGGTCTGTCTCACCAGCAGTCATTTTCTCTCTCTGCACAATGGTGACGGCAGAGTCTGCAGGCAAGGCCTCCAGTCCTGTCTCGGAAACCTGAAGAGTGATAGGCTCCTCCAACCTCTCCTGTGTCGGCGATTCATGGCGTTTTCTGATTTGATCAACATGGCGCCTAATGACTCTTCCATCTCCCGTCTGTACAGTATAAAATACAGGTCCGGTGTTCTCTTCAACGACAGCCGGTATCCAACGAGGACCATGACTGTAATTTCTGGTGTACACATCATCCCCAGGTGAAAAACTCCTCCACTTACTGTGTGTGTCATGTTGTTCCTTCTGCTTGAGTTGTTTCTTCCGAATCTTTGACTTCACATCCGGCAGCAGAAGATCCAGTGTTGAGCATAGTCTTCGGGACATCAGCATTTCCGCTGGTGACAATCCAGTCGTGGTTTGCGGGGTGATTCTGTAATTAAACAAAAATCTAGCGACTCTTGTTTCCAAAGTGTCCTCCTTTATTTTCTTTATTCCTTGTTTGAACGACTGTACAGCTCTTTCCGCTAGACCGTTCGATGCTGGGTGGAATGGTGCAGATGTTATGTGCTGTATTCCATTCTGTTTTAGGAATGCTTGAAAGTCTTGGCTTGTGAAGCAAGTTCCATTGTCTGATACTAAGGTTTGAGGCAGACCATGTATGCTGAAGCACTGTCTGAGCTTTTCAATGGTAACTTGACTGGTTGCTGTACTTGCTGGGTACACGTCAATCCATTTTGAGTGTGCATCTACAATGATAAGGAACATTTTCCCTAGAAAAGGGCCAGCGTAATCCAAATGCAATCTGCTCCAGGGTGTCTCCGGCCACTCCCATGGATGTAGCGGTGCTTCTGCTGGAGGATTTCTGTTCTCCTGGCATGTATGGCAGGACTGCACTTCCTTTTCAATTTCGGAGTCCATCCCTGGCCACCAGACGTATGAACGTGCTAAACCCTTCATTCTACATATTCCTGGGTGTGTGTGGTGTAGCTGTTTTAATATGGCTTTCCTACCTCTCTGTGGAACGACCACTCTTGCCCCCCAGAGCACACACCCATCTTTCACACTCAGCTCCAGTTTCCTCTGACTGTAGGGTTTGTACTGTGCATCCACCTCCCTTGGCCATCCTTTCAGACACCAGCCTCGCACTTGGGAGAGTGTTTCATCCTTATCGGTCCACTGTCTGACCTCTTTTGTCGTGATTGGTGGGTCCTCCATTACCTCCAACATGAAGACCTGGTCAGACTCGTCCTCTTCCCGTTTGTGGCAATGGCAACCTACTCATACGCTCTGAGGAGAGTTGCCCACCTCTGCACTCTTGGTGACCCCATCTGAGGTACTGGCTTTTTCTCATGAAAGAGTGATATCAGTGGTTTGTGGTCGGTGCTGATTGTGAATGTTCGTCCGTAGATGTACTTATGAAACCTCTTAATCCCGAACATGATAGCTAACCCCTCCTTATCAAGCTGTGAGTAGCGCTTCTCTGCTGGTGTTAGCGTGCGCGACATGAAGCCCAAAGGTTTTTCACTACCGTCTTCCATGACATGTGACAGCACGGCGCCTAGCCCATATGGTGAGGCGTCACAGGCGAGCAGTAACTCTTTGTCCGCTGAATAGTGACCCAGGACTTTAGCCGACTTCAGCAACTGTTTTGAGTTCTGGAAAGCTTCTTCCTGTTCTTTGTTCCAGACCCACACAACATCCTTCCTTAGCAGCTTATGTAACGGGGCTAAGCGTGTAGCTAGACTAGGGAGGAACTTGTTGTAGTAATTCAAGAGACCTAAATAGGCCTTTAGCTCAGTCACTGTGGTTGGTGGTGGTGCTTCTTCTATGGCCCTCACCTTGCTCTTCACTGGATGTAAGCCTTCAGCATTCACCACGTGTCCTAGGTATTCTACCTCATTTTGCTGGAACACACATTTGTTTCTGTGAAGTCGCAGGCCAGCGTCTTTCAAACGCCTAAGTACCTCCTCCAGCGTACTCAGGTGTTAAGCTTCATCCCTCCCTGTCAGAATGATGTCGTCTAAGTACACAGCTACCCTTGGAAGGCCTTGTAACAGATTTTCTATTGTTCGCTGGAAGATGGCGGGAGCTGACGAGACTCCGAAAGGAAGCCTATTGTAGGTGAACAATCCTCGATGTGTGTTTATTGTGAGGTACTTCTTTGAGGCATCATCCATTACAATCTGTTGATAGGCGTGGCTTAAATCGAGTTTGGTGAACTGTTTCCCTCCTGCCAGGGTATTGAACAGGTCTTCAACACGGGGAATAGGGTACTGCTCTAGTGAGGAGGCACTGTTAACGGTTAGCTTGTAATCGCCGCATATTCTGACCGAACCATCTGGCTTAAGGACAGGAACTATGGGCGCGGCCCATTCGGCGTATTTAACAGGAGCTATAATGTCCTCCTTCAGCAGCCGATCTATCTCCGCTTTTACTTTCGCCCTCATGGCATACGGAACTGAGCGGGGCCGATAGAATTTAGGCTGTGCTTCAGCAGACACCCGAATGGTTGCTTTCATGCCTTTCAACATGCCTAACTCCTGCTTGAAAACTTCCTCATTTCTCATGAGTACTTGCGGTAGGCTCTGTACCTCTGTTCTCACATTTTTTATTTCTTCCCACTTCAATTTTAGAGCCTCTAGCCATCCTCTTCCTAACAAGCTAGGTCCTGTACCTTTAACCACCACTAGGGGCAATGTCTTCACTTGCTTCTCATAGTTTACTTTCACTTTGGCCACCCCCACTACTTTGATTTTCTCCCCTGTATATGACTTAAGTACAAGTTTAGTTTGTCTTATTTGTGGTCATTGTCCTTCATTCCACAACTCATTGAACTTCAGCTCGTTCATTATGCTTACACTGCATCCTGTATTAATTTCAAAATGTTCCGTCTTCTCATTCACTGCCATCGTCACTTCAAACGGTTTTATCCTCTGAATTGATGTCTCCGTTTCCATGCAGTTCAATGTGAACACTTCCTCCTCAGATTCATTAGCATCTTGCTTTTCACACTCCACATTATAGGATCGATGTGGATGTGGACGCCGCTCTGCTCGGTATGTTTTCTCTGTTCTGCATGCTTTCTTCTCGTTGTAGCTGGCACTTTCTTTATTTCTATTACGGCAAGCCTTGGCTATGTGCCCAACTTTTCCGCAACAGTGACACTTTGCCTCCTTAAATTTACACGCAGCCGCGTTGTGTTGCTTCCCATGACATCGGTAGCATTCTTTATCTTTTTTTTTCCATTCACTCTCCTTTTTCAGCGCACCCTCTGTCCTCACACTGTTGCATGCTACCGGTGCTGTATGGAGATCTTGAACGTTTTTACTAGCGGCCTCCGCAGCTACTGCAATTTGGAATGCTTTCTCAAACGTCAAGTCTGTTTCGGATAGCAAGCGTCTTTGAATCCTGTCATCATTAATACCGCATACCAGTCGGTCTCTTAACATCTGTTCCAGTGTTGCACCATAGTTACAATCATGTGCTAATCGTCTCAATTCAGCTACATACACACTGACGGTCTCTGTAGGCTGGCGGGAGCGCGAGTCAAATTTGTATCTCTGAACTATCTCACTCGGTTTGGGGTTGAAGTGCTCTTTCATTAAAGTTTTCAACTGACCGTAAGTTTTCGAGCTGGGTTTATCTGGACTCACCAAGTTCCTCATGAGCTTGTATGTGGCTGGTCCCACCGCACTGATGAGGATAGCTCTCTGCTTATCTCCATCGTCAATTCCGTTAGCTTCAAAAAACTGTTCTAGTATCTCACAATACTCTTCCCACGTCTGCTCCTTCACGTCAAAAACCGACAGAGTGCCTATCATCGTAGCCATCTTTGCTTTTTTTTTTTTTGTGAATCCTCCGGTCAATTTCTAGCCCCTCTCTCTCCCGTCAGCTCACCCTGTAGCATCCGTCTTCAAACTGACATATTTTTCATCCTTCCAATATCCTCGTCGCCAATATGTGGTATCTTCAGTAATATAGAAACTGAATCATGCGGAATAACTATGATATAACTTTATTCTCTTGTGCAGCAGAGTCTACATGTGACCGGCATACTTTTCTCTTAGAGACCAACAACTCTTACTCTACCCCGGAACCCCCACATGATCCCCAAGGTCAACTGCACCTCTTGTGGTGTGGAGAGGAACTGCTGTTAACTACACATAAATCTCAGTATACCACAGAGAGCAACACCGATTTCCTGCAGGCCGTGCGAAAGAGACAACCTCGTCGCTCCACCACAGGTGTGGGCGCCCGCAGAGAACCTAGACTTGCTAGGATCTCTTTGACAAAGCCTTTTTCGCCTGCAGGACGGCCCTCAGGTCGCCCTGCTTTTGATGAGGCTTCATCTGAGAGCACTGTCTATGCTCCCAGGCTCCTTGAGGGGAGGGGGAGGGGGGGGGCTCTAGATGAAACGCTCTCTCTCTGCGCCTGTCTATAGGCAGAGGAGCTGGTGGGATGGCTGTGGCTGCGGCTTTCAGGGATGATGCAGACCTGGGGGATAAATAGTTGGCAAGCGGCTGTTCCACCCAAGGCGTCATCCCATATCTGTTCTCTCGTGTCCCCAGGATGTTACTCTAATTTAAAACTGGGGGGTTGGACACACGAGAAGAGTGAGGTCTATTCCAAAAAGAATGAAAAGCCCCGGTGATGAGGTTGCTCTCTGTGCTGCTGGAAGTGTTTCTCGTGTGGCCGAATGATATTAAGACGGGCCACAGCACGAGAGACAACCTCCACCAGCTCCTTGTATGCGGGGACATGGGGTGTTGAGTCATCCCCAAAATGGTAAATGGACTGCATTTATATAGCGCCTTCATAGACCTAATGGCCACCAAAGCGCTTTACAGTTTGCCTCACATTCACCCATTCACACACTCTTTCATACACCGACGGCGGTGTCAGCCATGCAAGGCGCCATCCAGCTCGTCGGGAGCAGCTGGGGTTAGGTGTCTTGCTCATGGACACCTCGACACTTGGTCAGGTGGAACCGAGGATTGAACCACCAACCTTTCAGTTCGTAGACAACCCACATGAACCACTGAGCCACTGCCGCCCCATCCCCACCCTCAATAGAGGGAATGCGCGTGACGTCACCGTCGGCCAGAGTGCCTGCAGTTACTCACAGTGAGTGGCAAAAAGACTGAGCGGCTGTATATGTTTTCAGCGTGAATGCCGCGAAAAACGAACACAACACATATAACGTGGGAAAGAGCTTTGCGATTGACTGTACAACTAGTTTTGACAAAAATTGGAGGTATATTTTTACAGATTTCACGCATTACGTCATGACGCAACACCAATCGGAGATTGGCTTAGTTTCATTTATACTTCAGAGGCGCTACGCTGAGTGACATTCCCCAAAGTGTCATTCGACGCAGTTTGATTGCGATTGTATTACAATTTGCTTTTCAGTTGTTAGCTGAAAGTGTATTTTTGTGAATTTGCATTTTGAGCATTTTGACCTTTGTTTGGAGAAATATGTATAACCAATTGAGAATTTTTGTTATCTACAAAACTGAACATTTAGATAAGGATCACCAACAAACAAACAAACAAATAAATAAATAAATAAATAAATAAGGCTTACAGAATCATTGATTATCCAGGGAATAAGAGAGTTGTCAATGGTAAAAATAGTTTCTGGATATGTATCATATGTGCCCACCAATTCAAACTGTGGAGAATTTACATCAGTATGCCAGAGCACAACTGCGTAACTGATGGTTGGATCATAATTACTATCGTATTTCACCTGACGGCTATTGAGTGGAAAATCCAGATTTTTCATTTCTCCCAGAAGCTGTTAAGTATGTTCAAATAAACAAGAAAAATAATTGATAATTATATTACTATGACATTACTTATATTACATATAGAAATTACAATTAAACAATAATACAATATAATCAACATAATATGCAATATCCTTAAAATATAAACATTGTTAATTATTTAATTAATTAAAATATTTTTATTGAAATAATGAATGTAACAATTATTACGTGTGGATTCAAATAAATTCACTTACCATGTATGGCTTTGCCATCGTGTTTTTATGGCATTTATTCATGTCACACTGCAGAACCTTATGTAATGCATGAGCTATGGAATATATGGCGGCATAGATAGCAAAGGAGAATGAAGGATTTTCATTTATAATCTCCTCTGCAGTCGACATTGTGCAGTAATCACACTTTTGATTACATGTCTTTCTATTACTCTTGACTTCACTCTCGGGTTTATAATTAACATTAGTTGTTCCCCTGTCTTTATAGATGAATTTATCAAATCCAGGTAATGACATCAATCTTTCTGTAATGCCAATGACTGTACCAATTTTCATAATTTCTGGCTCTCTTGGAAGTTGTTGATTCATAGACCATGTTTCACTTGCAATCCATACTTTGTCACGTATGTTCTCTGATATGGCTGTTTTGATTATGTTGATGGCATATTGTGGCACAGCGAAAACCACAATGACATTAATGTTAAGCATATCAACCTTTTTAAGTGTTTGACTGTAGTTTGCATTTAAGCTTAGAGCCTCTTGATAGGCCAAACAAATACCAGTGTTGTTGATGTATTTGTTAAACAGCTTTAGTCCATCTGAACTGTAATTGTCTTGGCTACCAAGAAAGGCAACCCAGTTCCATCCAAACCATCGTATGATGTGAATAATCATCTCTATCAGGTCTTTGTTGCTGGGCACTGTTCTTACAAAAGAGGGATAGTGAAGTTTATTGCTTAATGCATAGCTGGAAGCTCCATAATTCACCTTTGAAAGAGAAGAAATACTATTACTATTAACAATTCATTTAGCAAATTATAACTTGGTTGTTCTGTTTTAATATAAAATTGTAATATAAAATTGGTAACATTTACCAATGGTATAAGGTCCATTGTGATCAGTGGTGCAATTGTAATAGTTCTCGTGCTTCCATATGGCCCTGTTAAAGCAATCACTTTAGGCTGATAGTTGTTGAGTTTTTCTTTAGGTTTTATTGTTCCATTATTTGAGATAAAACTTAAGACTGAACGGAAATTCTTTGTATTAGAACAATGGTCAAAAATGTCATAGCCCAGGGAAACATTGGGCAGAAGAGTGGTGGAATTATTAACTTCTTCAACAGCAAACCTCATCACTTGCAACATCTGATAGCCAGATATTGAGGGCGTATGCCTTGAAAACATCAGTGAAGAAATTAATAGCATGTCATTGTAAATTCAGTTTAGAAATGTGATATGCTGCTTTGTTTTGCAGTATTGCGTAATGATAAATCCAGACTGATAAAAGGCCCTTGCTTACCTGAAACATTCAGTGGTCTCTGGGGTGAACATGGGTTTTACATCATCAATTTCATGTAAAGCGAAAAGGCCACCCAATAAGTAATCTCCTTCCAAGCTGAAATCAGATGTTGACCAAGAAACTTTGAAAAAGAAACAAATACTGAAGCCCAAAAGGAAAATGTACATGCTATTGTGAAGCATGGTTTAAGATGGGCCGTCAATCTTGAAACAAGACTGGTGGCTGGTCGTTTGAGAGAAATCAGGCTGATATACTACATTTAATTTGCCTAAATCACATTTCTATTTGGTTACACCACTATATTCAATGATATGAATGCCTATTTCCATATCTAAAGTCACAAAGCTTATGTCAATCAGTTATTAAGTAGAGCATTACACCACAAACGTCTCCTCATACATAGCCTACATTTACAAATTAAATTCTTGTGAAACAAACTGTACCCATCTTATGTCTGAGCAGGGGTTTTACAGGTGGAATAGAGTAAGGTTTCCCAGTTTAGAGGTGGAGAGGAAATAAAAAAAAATTACTCTGCAACAAGGGCGTAGATTACGCGGGGGACGTGTCCCCCCCCACATTTTATAAAATGTAAATTTGTCCCCCGCACTTTTTCATAGGGGAAGTGTTCACGACATGAGGTTTTCGCAAGCCAATGTGTATTTATAGATACAGATTTAAAATTCAAAGAGAAAAGATCGTCTATGTACTGTATCTGCACGTGACTTTCACGTTGCCATGGTAATCAGTCACTCGCGCTCGTGCATCACCACACACCCGTGCTCGCACCCGCACTGAATCCATTGTCGAAGGTCGAAATTAATTCAAAACGGCAAAAAACACCTCACACTTTTTTCGCAAAAAAGTCAAGAACTGTAAGTTGTAATGTGGTATCCGAATTTGGTTGCTCATTGTCATTGATGAATAACTTTGCCTAATTTTCTGCCATTATCTAACTTATTTGCTTGAATCATGCAGCGTTGCACTTGACTTGTAACATGTGTACATGATGTTTACCATATAATAAGGTAACACTTTACAATTAGATTAAAAAAGTGTGTAGACAAACGTTAAGTTTTCTTTAAAAAGCCTACCAGAGAGTTTGAAGAAGTTTTAAAAGCATGAAGTTTAAATGTTTTCAATATGAAAGACAGTTTTGGTTAAGTAAAACAGATAGATAGATAGATAGATAGATAGATAGATAGATAGATAGATAGATAGATAGATAGATAGATAGATAGATAGATAGATAGATAGATAGATAGATAGATAGATAGATAGATGAAACTAATGAAACCTTATTGTAAAGTGTTACCATTCAATATAAATGCAGTATGCAATTGTATGCATTAATGTTCTGATTTAGGTCTTAATTTATAGGGTTCAATAATATTATTGCACTAATTTAATGTTTTTTCTTCTTCTGTGTTGTCAAGATTGATCAAGAAACAGGGAGCTTAGGGTTGTCAGGTCAGAAAGAGGATGACACTCAAAAAAAAGAAACTTCACAGGTGAAAAGTAATAGACTGGCTTTTAAAAACACATGCTATTGCATTTTATTTATTGTAAAAAAATCTACAACAGGTGTTTGTAGTACCATATAGACCAATCATGAAAATACCATTAGGCAAATATAGGAAACATAATTTAGGAATTTCAAATTATTGGTTATTGTTCAGCAGTGTACATATGTATGTCACAATTCCCTGTATCTGCATATTTCAAACACTTCTTTATTGTCAATATACAGAGCCAGAAGTTACTTTAGAGTTGAGAGGGAATGAAGCAGAATGTTTCAAGAAGGTGAGGGAAAACAAATGACTGGAATAAGTTAAGAATTTTTCATTTATTGTTTCCAATACACACTCATTATGTGTTGTCTTGTCTACACTGCATAGGCAAAACAAAGTAACTACACATATTTCTGATACCTTTTATTAATCAGACTTATTTGTACTTTTTTTATAGACAGGGCAGAGGGCATCAGACAAGTTGACAGTTGTAGAAGGAGATGGGTCTTCAGTACCTGTATTAAAACCTCACCAACCAGATTCCAAGACTATTGGTGCTTCGGGACAAAACTTAAAAATTTCAGGCTCAGTGGTACCACGATTTTGCATGGCTCCATTTTGAGCCTGGTATTGAGGGAGCATTGTGCTTCTACTGCCACAAGGCCTTTAAAAACAAAACGTCTCAACTTGTCAAAAATACAGAAACCACCTTTATCAGCTCTGGCTTTAAAAACTGGAAGATACGGTGGCTGGGAGAGCTCACCGCGCTGCAACCTGATGAAGACGAATGCAAATTCAAAAAAATGTGTGCAACTATAAAAACGCATTCAAATACAAAAATACATCTGCAAATTAAGAAAAACATCTTCATCAGTTCCACAACACACCTGTGCTCCAAGTACACAACCACAACCAAATACAGAAACGCGCTGCAAACGTTCACAACACCACCAAATACAGAAACGCGCTGCAAATAACACGGTCCACAACGGAAATGTTTCCGGGGAACCAAATAAGTGACGGACCCGACTGGGAATTGCTTATTGCTCGTGAGCTTCCCTATGCCCTACTCTCTTCAAAGGGCAGACGGCAAAGCTCTTCAAGTGGGAATTTGGCGTGAGCATGACACCTAGTGTGTCATTTATGTAGCCGTTTGGAACTTGATGAAGGGAGCAACAACAGACAACGTAACAACGCAGCACTTTGTCCATCAGCTGTATAGACCATTTCACAAGATGTAAACAACACTGGTCCAGAAGCACTTCCTGTTTCAGTTTTTTAACACTACATAAAAGCTGGGATAAAATACAACCAACAGAACATTTAAAACTGAATCAAAAAGTTAAACAAACATCTTTAAGATGTTTTCTTTACATGTGAAATAAAGAAAACAGTTACAAACTGAAACAGGAAGTGTTTCTGGACCAGTGTCGTTTACATCTTGTGAAATGGTCTATAGCTGTTCTGACGACAGAAATATAATGATTAACATAACGGTTGCAAATAAATTATTCATTTTTTATTTTTACTTTATAAAAATCTGTTAAAATATCCGTTTTATATATCTCTATGTCAGTGCCATACATTACCTAACATTTTTAGGAAACTTCTTATAGTAACCAAACTCCATCGCACACCTGCAGGTGATAGGTGCGTCGGATAATAAGACCAGCTAGTCATTCAAGCAGATAAGGAACTCTCGCACACTATCATTACTTGCACTTTTCAATCAAGTTTATCAAGTTTCAATCAAGTCACACGACCTTCGTCAGGAGTAAGGTCACGACTCACGACTCCTGACGAAGGTCGTGTGACCGAAACGTTGTGTGTGAATAAACTTGACTGAAAAGTGCAAGTAATGATAGTGTGCGGGAGTTCCTTATCTGTAGGAAACTTCTTATAAAATTTAAACATATAATGAAACTATTTGTATTGTGTAACTGATGTATAGATTAATATCTTGCCTTCATGTTCTTCTAGATCTTTTTTTATTTATTTAGTTTAGTTTTCAGATCATTGTTCTTTTCTCATTTGTATTGTGATGACATTGAACATATTGTTAACACATGTTGTATATTGTACACAAGTTGTAAGTCATAATAATTTGAATCTCTGTTTTTTGCGGGGGTAAAGTCAAAAGAAATTAAATAAAGTAGAATTTTTAGTAAGCAAGGACTCCAAGGAGTATAGACGAACTAATATATATATATATATATATATATATATATATATAATATTATAATATTATTTATATGTACAATATTACTTTAATAGTATAGTTTATTTGTATAGTGTATTTACAAAAAAAATGTATGTGCTTTGACTTCTTGTCAATTAGTTTTTTTTGCTCTAAGCACGTCTTGTGGTTCTAGTCGGGTCCGTCACTTATTTGGTTCCCCGGAAACATTTCCATTGTGGACCGTGTTATTTGCAGCGCGTTTCTGTATTTGGTGGTGTTGTGAACGTTTGCAGCGCGTTTCTGTATTTGGTTGTGGTTGTGTACTTGGAGCACAGGTGTGTTGTGGAACTGATGAAGATGTTTTTCTTAATTTGCGGATGTATTTTTGTATTTGAATGCGTTTTTATAGTTGAACACGTTTTTTTTAATTTGCATTCGTCTTAATCAGGTTGCAGCGCGGTGAGCTCTCTCGGCCACCGTAGGAAGAAGGCCAAAGAGAGATTTACATTACATGCTGGATCAGAATGTCACAAGACAGCCATAACAACACACATCTATGAATCAAGACCAATAGATGTTCAGCTGTCCAATGTAAGGGCATCCCAGCAAGAGGAGGCAAGGAAATGCCTATTAAAGATAATCAGTGCTGTGCAGTTTCTGGTAAGACAAGGTTTATCTTTTAGAGGCCATGATGATGATGAGGGAAACTTTAATCAACTTTTAAAATACAAGTCAGAAGATGACCCCAGCCTAAGCAAATGGTTGTCTCTCAAAACTGATTATACTTGTCCACAAATTTAAAATGAAATCCTCAATCTATTCAGTAATTCTATAATTCGTGGAATGGGCTCTATGCACGGCGGTATTTCCGGTGAAGGTGTAAGGATGCTCGATAACTTGCGCCGATCGTAGAGTCCAATGCAATACCGAGAGTATATATTGAATTTTATACTCCATGGTTATACTAAAGAAACGTTAGTCACAAAAACAGATAAAACAGACACCCCTTGTTGTGTTTATGCTTCTTTTTAAAATTATATTAAATAAACATAACTATATATAAAATTACATCTAAACGTATGTACGTTTCGTTTCAAAGACGGAAGGACAGTAAATTTTGAAGACTCTGCAATTATCCCGTTTTCTTTGGTTTTCCTCCGCTTTAATCTCCACAACCGGAAATAGACGGGCATCCTTGCGTCAAATGCGGAACTTATGCGTGCATATAGCCCATTGCAGAAAACATCAATTCACTTCCTAACTTGCAGTTTTGTGTCATCATGGATGGTACCCAAGACATATCAGGAAAGGAACAGGAATCAGTCTGTCTTAGATATGTTGATCACGATCTAATAGTCCATGAGGAATTTGTTGGATTGTATGAAGTGTCTGTGACAACAGGAGGCAAAGGTTCTGAAGGATGTATTGCTTCGACTTAACTTATCCATCACTGGGCTGAGACTACAGGCTTATGATGGTGCTGCGAACATGGCAG